AGGTGCAGTTTATTGTGTATACTAGTGTTATGGAAAATTTGGAAGTGCCGTGTAAACGCCGAAAAATTGGTCCTTTAACAGTTAATGAAAAAACATTAATATTTAATTGTTTTAAATCATTTACAGACAAACGTTTATGTGAAAGTGTTGATGAGACCGTTGAGTTAGTTAGCAGTACACTTGGTGTTGGGAAATCTACGATTTACAGAGTTATTAAAGAAGAGAAATGTGGTAGTTTTCAAATGCCACGTAATGCTCCAGGGAAACCAAAATTTCAAATAGAATATCATTTTAAAGAAGGACTTCGACAGAAAGTGCATGAATTCTTCTTTAGACAAGAATTTCCAACATTGATAAAGTTCTTGTCTCAGTTCGAGATGATAAGGATTACCCAGAAATGAGTCGAAGTACGTTATGGAAACTTTTAAAAGAAATAGGCTTCCGCTGGAAAAAGAATCCCAGAAAGTCTATTTTATTAGAAAGAAGCGATATTGTCATATGGAGAAGACATTTTCTAAGAACCATAAAGGAAATGAGAAACCAAAAAAGAAAAATATTTTATCTTGATGAAACATGGATCAACGAGGGTCATACACCAAATAAATTTTGGCAGGATGAAACTGTTACAAGTCAAAGGCACGCTTTTGTAAATAACTTATCTACTGGTTTATACCCACCATCAGGACAGGGACGCAGGCTGATAATAGTACACATTGGCAGTTCAGACGGTTTTGTTGAAGGTGATTTATTAACTTTTGAATCAACTCGTACCGGTGACTACCATGAAGACATGAACGCTGATGTCTTTCAAGAATGGTTCGAACAAATGATAGATCTTCTTCCTAAGAACTGTGTAATAGTAATGGATAATGCAAGTTATCACTCCAGACTTATAGAAGGACTGCCCACAACCAAGTGGTTAAAAAAAGACTTGCTGAATTGGCTGAGTTTAAAAAATATTACGTACCATCCCGGATCTATAAGAAAGGAACTTTATTCGTTGTGTGCCCTTCATAAAGAAAAATTTAAAAAATACGAAATTGATGAAATTGCCAAAAATCGTGGAATGACAGTACTTAGATCCCCACCATATCATTGTGAATTAAAACCGATTGAACTGGTATGGGCACAGATAAAGAGTGAAGTTTCAAGAAAAAATACCACTTTTAAAATTCATGATGTTAAACAATTGTTTTTGGAGGCCGTAAATAATGTAAAACCTGAAAACTGGGAAACGGCAGTAAATCACACTATTAAAGAAGAGGAAAAAATGTGGAAGCTGGACAATATTACTGATAAAATGATCGAGCCAGTTATTATAAATCTTGGTTCTGAAAGTTCATCTTCTGAATCTGATTTGGATTTGTAACAAGTAGCTGTAAGTTTTATATTAATATTTTTATTCATCTATTTAACATACCTTAGACGGTTTTAAAAACTCTTTCTCTTTTGTAATTTTTAAAAATTAAAAAAAATGTGAATTTTTTAAAACCCTTTTTAATGTAGGCCAGTCAGTTCTAATATAGTGTGTGATAAAAGAGGTCACTTTTGTTTACATATACATAACACTGAAATAATTCATTTATTTTTTACAATTATTCAAAGTAATTTTTCAATTAATCTTGAGCACGCCCATGGAGTGGTCGAAGGTACCAGTTAAAATTATGTTAATTACTCTCTCGTTTATAAAAATAAACTATAGCTACTGTAACAGTTTTGCATGGAACATTTCAATGGTTTCGATAACAAGCAATGAAAGGCATGAAAAAAGTAAGATATTTGTTATTTTAACATCTATATCTGTGGTGTTTAATTTTAATATACAGCGTGTAATAATAATGTAATAAACAAAGATTTACGAGACCAATCTATTCATGTAAGTTTTATGTGCTTTGTGTGACATTATATTTTCCATAAAATGTGTGCAATGTCGTTTGACCATTTATTTATTAGATTGGATTCATCATCATCATCATCAACTAGCCTCTAACGTCCACTGCTGAACATAGGCCTCTCGCATGCTTTTCCACTTGGTCCGATTCTGCGTTATCTGGATCCAATTTGTAGTCACTCCTTTTCTGTCATCTGTCCATCTCGATGGACGTTGTCCATCTGTTAGCTTGTATTCGGGGTCTTCATTCCGAAATTCTTTTGCCCACCGGCCATCAACTGCTACATGACCTACCCAGTTCCACTTTAGTGTTGTTATCCTTTCAATAACGTCTGCTACTCCTGATCTTTTGCGTATAGTAGCATTGGGTATTCTATTATGTAGAGAAATCCCTAACATAGATTCGATTAAAAACACATAAATTAAGAATAGTAGAAGTATTTTTTCTTATGAAAGGAAAAACAGTTATCTTAAAACTTGTGTATTAACAATACTGACAGATTAAAAATATCTATTCTCAGAAAACTTGATCTATAAAAACTAAATCCCAATTTGGGATATTGTATTAAATCTTCAAGTAACCTTCCAGGGCGAATGTCTTATCATATTGTCCCCGTAATTTCCAACTTTTACTAAGGTAGTGAATTTTTTTTAGTAAGGAACAGCCAAAAATTTAAATGGCCAAAAAGAAAGATTTGGTATACTCATGCCATTCGGGTATGATACCAGAAGCCCACCATAGTTTTTATAAAAATATTTTGGCCCAAGATGATATACGAGAAGAGGACAACAACTTACAGAAAATGTGTCTACACTTTCTACAATTTTCTCCATGCAAAAGTGTTAAAAAGTGTAAACTTTGAAATTCCTAATTTTTTTAGCATTAATATTATTTTATTTAAATTTCTATTTTTGGTTAATGTAATATAGGCTGAAAAGCATGCAAAATCATAATTAAATGTTAATTTTTCTCAAAACTTGTATCATATTTCACCGAAATTAGCACGAAAATGAATTAAATCGTCTTTATTTCGAAACTTACTTATTCTGACTTACTGCAGTCTTGCACTGAGGGTGCGATATATAAAAATACTTTATGTAACAATAAAACACTGAAAACTTTGTTTTCAAACTTCCACAAAATTTATTTTAACTATTATCACTACAGCTGTTTCGGCTGATAGCCTTTCTCAGGTGATCTATTTTTGGCTTGGGTTTACAAATTTATAGTCTCTAATGAAATAGGTTGAGGAGGGGAGAACTGTTTGTCTCAAGTTGGTCATTCAGAATTATATCTGTGTTTTTTAATTTGTTGATTTCCATAGATTCTAACAAAGATAGCTTAAGGCCTTTATTTTGAATGTGAAGAATTTTAAATTTGTCATTAAATTAATGATTATAATCTAGAAGGTGAAGTGCGTATGTCGAATCTGTTTTTCTATTCTTGAAAGCCCTTTTACGTTCTGCTATTCGTTTATCAAAGTTTCTACCAGTTTGACTGATGTAAGTTTTTGGGCAGTCGCCACATTGAAGTTTATACACACCACTATTTAAGTGTTTTTTATTTTGGCTCTTGTTATTTTTAATATATTTACCTAGGTTGTTATTTGTTCAGAAAGCTGGTGTTATTCCTTTCTTTTTTTATGTGTTTTGCAATTTTTGTTGTTATTTTGCCTGTATATATAATTGAGAAGAATCGAGCAGAATCAAGCATAGCAGGCTGAGGCTAGTTTCTTACTTAACAAATCGATATGAAGAGACCATTAAAAGTTTGTTATCTATAAACATACAAAAATAAAGAAATTTTACAGAATCAACGATACTAATCTGGCTGTTATTAAGAAGCAAGGGATAAAAGTTCCTTTATAGGTACATGGATATGAATACCGAAACTCAGTGCCACTGCTGCTTATGAACTTCAGTTTTTTTTTACCTTTTCTTAAATATTCGAAATAGCAATTACATATAAAACATCATTATTCATAATTATGTATTAGCAACAGCATACCGTTTTTTCTATTTTTTTTTAATTTGGGACCACGTAAAAGTAAGTTACAAAATAGGGGCATCCAACCTGTTAACCCTAAGCTGTCAGCTGCCAAAATGTTTCGGTTTTTTTGTTGCCAACACTTGACTGCACAAATAACGGCACATTCAAATTTGCGTGAATTGTGGGACACCCGTTATAAGAAACAAATGAGCCTTTGTTGATAAGAATACTGATATAGTGTGTATGTACACTTACTTGAGTTCTATTCTATGTTCAATTATGTGTATTCCTGACAAGTATATGTGAACTTATTGAAAAGTTGAATAAATTATATTTCACTTCCATTAAAATGACTGCAAGTTAATTATAAGACAGACACATAACAATTACTTCAAAAGTATCAAAGATATTAAAAAAACTAACCTTGACATTTTACTACTAATTATGAGTTTCTATTATTATATCTTGTTACAGTTATAACGATGCGATGTGAAGGAAATATTAAGTACTGTAATTAAAGATGAATATTTTATATAAAAATCAGATGTTCTTTATTTCAAAGAAATAAAATTTTAACAATTGAGCTACAGGTATTATTATTTTGATGTGCTTATGAAAACTTGTGAAAGGCAAATAAAACATTTATTTTTAAGCAATTCTTTTTGAGAAGCAAATTGTGGCAGAGACTGATTAAATATCTCAACACATTCGTCTGGAAAACAGTTTATAAACCTTTTAGACAACTGTGACAGTTATGCCCTGAAAAGTGGTAGCTAGTCTTGGAAGACACCTAGCTCCTTAGAAGTATTGTATTTATGCAGTTCTGGTAATCAGTCGTGATTACAATGCCCATTAATTTTTCTTATCCACAAGTGCTGCAGCTAAGGATGAAAATATTTTCCTCCCTAGGTTCATAGTCAGTAACAGAGTACAGCACCTTGGCTTTAACAAAGAGAAATGAAAAAAAAATTACATATGTAATGTGAAGACAAAATAATTGCTCTTTTTCTATCGGTTGACAATGGAAATTAAAGATCTGTACATACAAAGTATGCATTATAACGAGTTAATAGCTATATGATGCTCTAAAGCTAAAAAGGATTATCACATTCTACTTACCTGTATAAACAATAGTATGTCGAGCCCCGCAGGCAACATAAAGGGCATTTAAGTCTTCATTAGAAAATTCTACAACATGCGGTTGAGCCATAACCGCAACATATCCATCTTCTTCCTCTGTTTTTCCTAATCCTATCTGCCCATTACAATTCCAACCCCAGGCATATAAAACGCCATCTTCACTGATAGCACATGAATGCCAACCACCAGCTGCTATTTTCTTAATCTTAATGCCAGCTAAAGCTTCTATTAATACTGGCTCTGGCTCTTCATTCAGTTTGCCATGACCTAGCTGCCCACGGCTAAAACAAAAATAATTAAGTATAGTAACCTAAAAAATATTATCCTGACTAAATTTTAAGATATTATAAAAATAAAGATATTTTATCTAATTCGCGAATTATTTTACAGATATTGTAGATGGTCATACTTTATTGATCCTTTAAGACATTCAAAATAAATGTATAGGATGTCACTACAGAATTCAGTATAAAAAAATATTTATTTATTTATTTATTTATATACGGCATCCATTTACTTACAATTTTTACAAAGTTACATCTTAAAAACAATATATTATTAAAATAACAATCACAAGTTTTAAAAAGTTACACCTTAACAACAATAAATTATTAAAATAACAAACACCTCAGAATAATACAAACATATAAGAATAATACAGATGTATACCCAACTTATTGTAAGATATTTTTTAGTTGTTTTTTGAACAAACTAATTTTGGAGTTAAAAATATCTATTTGTCTTGGCAAGCTATTAGCACTCCGGACCAATCGTGTAGTTGGTTCATTGGTACCATAATTAGTGTGGTGAAATGGCACCGAAAAGATTTCTGATTGTCTGTTGCTTCTACTAGGAACTTTAAGACTAACAAGCGATAAGAGTTGAGGACAATCTATAAAAGCATTGATAACTTTGTGTAAGAAACATACATCCAACAATGTCCTCCTTGACTCAAGAGTTGGTAAGTTAAGACTATCTCTTACCCACTGATAGTCGTATTCCTCTCTCCTGTATCCACTCTTATAGGCTGCTACCCTCAAAAATTTATTCTGGACTCTTTCAATCTGTTGAATGTAACAGTGGTATGATGGGGACCATACAAATGATCCAAACTCAAGTATGAGCCTAACGAGACCACAATAAAGTCTTTTAAATGTAAATAAAGACAGATCCACAGATGTGCGTTGGATAAATCCCAGCACTTTCATCGCTCTGTTTGTTACTTGGTTAATGTGGCTTGAGAATGACAGTTTGGTGTCTAACCAAATTCCCAAATCTAATACTTCATTTTTCGAGGCTAATGGCAAGTTATTTATGTAGTAAACAAATGTAATTGGATTTCTTTGCCTCGAGAATGTCATTTTATGACATTTGTTTATATTGAGTGACATTTTGTTTAAAGTGCACCAATCATAAAACGATTTAAGATCTTCCTGTAATATAACAGCATCATTCCAGGATTGAATTTTTCTAAACAGTTTTACATCGTCAGCAAACATAAGAACACTACAATTTTTGATTTGTTGTACTAAATCAACCAGAAACAAGCAAAACAAAACAGGGCCACAATGGGAGCCTTGTGGCACGCCTGATGGAACTGTTATTTCAATTGAAGTGTCACTTCCCAAGTTAACTGTCTGCTTACGGCCACTAACAAATTCTGTAATCTGTAATATTAATGTATATAATACAATATTCACAGTGTAACAAAATTGACAAAACATAAAATATATAAAATAACATTTTTACAAGTAATATATGAAGCTACTGCAGTTTATCCTCAAGATATTCATTTATAGAATAATATACTTTCCTTAAGGGAGAGCGCCCACCAAAGTAGCGTGGCAAGTAGCATGTAGCACGCGTCTAGCATGTTACTTAAAATGTAACCAATGAAAACTAATGATTCAGTTCACACCAAAATGACAGTGACGTCATTCATTCTAATCATTCGTTTGGATAGGTTACATTTTAAATAACATGCTAGACGCGTGCTACCTGCCACTTTGCCACGCCACTTTGCTGGGCGCTCTCACTAAGGGAGAGCGCCCACCAAAGTGACGTGGCAAGTGGCAAATAGCAAGTAGCACGCGTCTAGCATGTTACTTAAAATGTAATCAATGGAAACGAATGATTCAGCGCACACCAAAATGACAGTAGCGTCATTCATTTTAATCATTCATTTCTTTCACCGTTTTGAGCAAATGATTCATGAAATGAAAAGGTCAGTCCCATATATCTGAAGCAATTTTGAAATTTTGATGTTCTGTTTTTAGGAACTCGTAAAGGTTCAGCACTTCTTGTATTGTAATAGTGATTGTCTGAATTTACTGGAAATGTATTGATTTCCTCTTTTACTGATTTGATTATATATATATATATATATATATATATATATATATATATAAATTTTTCGGATAATTTTTTTTTGGGTAATGAACACTTTGTTACTATCTACTGAGTTCCTCCACAAAATTACATTATAGCACATGTGGCTGTAAGCAAGGCTATAATAAACGTTCATTAATGCCGAGATGGGTAGTATATTTTTAATTCTAGATACTTATAGCATAAAAAGCTTTATACACCCAAAACCTACTTTGTAGAGTGAGTGGAAGATAACATATTATTTCTATCATAGATGGTTAAGATATAGTCATAGGTAGATGAGTTGTATGAATGAAAATAAATAATTTCCATCTTGTTAATGTTTAATATTAGTCTGTTGGTATTACACCAGTGTATAAGGCAGTCAACAACAGTCTTCATTGTGATTATTAATTCCTCAAGTATATGTGCAGAGACTAGTAACTAGGTATCATCAGCAAACATTGATATTATAACTGCACTTATGTGATATGGTAGGTTGTTAATAAAAATTAGGAATAATAATAATGATTCCAACACGGATCCCTGTGGTACTAATCTATTTGTTGTGTATAGTTCTGAGCTTGATTCTTTCATTCTAACAACACTCTTCCTGTCACTTAAAAAATTTATTACCTATTCTAGAAATATCCCTCTAAAACCAACGCTATATAATTTATTACTAAAAAACGAATTAGTAATATCACAAGACTTGGTAATAATTTTATTATCATAATGTAGAATAATATCAAACCTGTTTTTTTTGCCTACTGGTTTCACTGTTTACTAAATTCCAAATTGTTTTTGGTATATTGTAAGATTGATTAATTAAGTCACTATGAAAGTTTTTTTTAGTATTTATTAATAGAGAATTATATTCCTTTTTGCTTGTTTATAGGTATCTCGAGACTCCCTATATTTTTTGCCATCCAGTGTAGATTTTTTAGTTTTTCACTAACATGTTTTACCTCACTTGTTGCCCAAGTAGCCTTATTGGTTTTGTCTGCTTTATACCGTGTTTTTATTGGACAATATAAATTTGGATTGTGATCTAAAATGCTAACGAATGAATTTGTGGCATATTGAGTATTCAATTGTGAATAAACTTTATCAAAAACTGTAGAAGAAATCCATGCTTTAAACATCAACATATTTTCTGACATATCCCTGTAACTGATGGGCTTTTATCTTTTTTCAATACTTTATTGGTTTGCAAATTTACAAGTGAAAATACTGAAGATACATAAGATACAGCGAATTAAACTGTTAAATCTCTACATGAAAAAAACAACATTAAGAGCCTTTAGAGAAAATTTCCACTGATGGTCAACTTAATTCTTGAATATGCTGTAATTGTTGAGAACACTGATAATTTGCAACTAACAGAAAAACTTTCATTAATCTCTTGGACAAAAGCTGATATTAAAAACTGTCCACAGAAAAAGTTATACATTTGTAATGTTTCAAGGTAGCTTCAGATTATAAATTATAGCTTAAAAAATGGGTGACTGTTGAAATAGCTAAATAAGTATTTAAAATGAAAGATCGTAAATTAAAATTACTGCCACCATATTGTAAGACTTAATTCTCCTTTTAAATGTTAAGATACTAACAGATGTTAAGTAATGTGTTACTGTGTTACAGAACAAAAATATCTTGACATACCTGCCTACACCAAATGAGTAAACATTCCCAATTTCATCCAGTATTAAACAATGTTCGTTTCCACACTTCACATCGACAATATTATTACATTTAAACTTGAGAGTCTGCGGAACACTGTCAATAACTTTACACACTGTACCATCTGTTCCATAAATGACAATAATCTTAGATCCACAAACAATATCTTTAATAGTTTTATCAGGAAAATGGTTTTCGTAATGTGTTTGTATGGATTCCTGTAAATGGTTTAAGTCACCTAATAGTAGCTCCCCTGTATCTTTCATGAAAAGGTAAAAATCATCGTTGGAACCAACCATTAAAACATCACCTTCAAATGCTTTGACTAGGTCAATCACACCTTCATGTACATAAAGGAAACATTCTTTGTCTGTGTGAAATATAGAGTAACTGAAATTTAAACATACCTAAAAATATTGCAACATAATTATTATACTTTCTGTAATAGAATACAAAGATATATAGACCTATGTGCATAAAAAACTACTATTTAAAAAATGAAAACAATTTGAAAAACTGATACAAATTAATTAACATCATTCTCACAATATCTATTTCCTCTCACTCCTAATCTAATAGAAATTATAGTTGACTGTAATTTATTACTATTAACCAAAAACTCTTTTGAATTTAAAATAGTATGTTTAACTTCTCTAAACTTATTACCCAAAAGGCACAAAATTTAAATGTTTACCTTTTTTATAACCTCAAATTCAACTACCAGTGTGAAATGATTCAGAATGGGTTCCGTAATCTCCCCGAATAAATTAAAACCCCTACTGTAAATCTTCATTATTGATTATTTTTGCTTTGAATTTGTTTTCATTGACCAACTACTTGGTGATTAGACACAACAACCTGCTTTAATTTTGCAAGTTAAATCTTCCAGAGTAGGCTTATTAATAGCTTTAGAGCATCATCAATTCATGAACTATGGTACGTAACATAAAAAACAATGGAATTTAAAGATATCGTCAAATGTAGCTAATATTTTGCAAAAAATTCATTGTTTGTTATTAATGGATAATGTAAGTTTCCATAGAAACTTCATTTACAACATAAAATCACAAACACAAACATAAATTTTGACATTTTTGACAAATGGCAGTTTTTATTTGATAAATTTATTGGAATTGAAAGTTAGACAATTTTTGCGAAATACTATGCTAAATTTAGTTCCTAATGACGTAGGCGTGAGTATTTATTCATATCCATAGGTCCACAGGTACTAAAATTTGCAAAACAATGCAAAACTTCCTTCCTATGTTTTTAAAATTAAAATATAAAAACATTGTTTTCATTTTAGGGCCTGCTGTCAATTTTAAGAAAACTTCGAACTGCTCCAGAAAAAGAGCTTCGTTTATTATTACTTGGTTTGGATAATGCTGGTAAAACTACAATTTTGAAAACTTTGGCTTCAGAGGATATCACAAATATAACACCAACAGCGGGCTTTAATATAAAATCAGTTAATTCAGATGGATTTAAGTTGAACGTTTGGGATATTGGGGGCCAAAGGAAAATCCGACCATATTGGAAGAATTATTTTGAGAATACCGATGTCTTGGTAATTATTTATATTTTAATTATTATTCACATAATACTCTATCGTGAATAGGAGGCTTTTTACATGGGCAAGATCTACATACTTGTGATTTTCTCGTTGCATTTAACACGCAGATTGTTATTGTTAAGTATCGACATTTCAGTTTGCGTTGTTTATTTAATTAATTTTTAACTTTAACTGTTATCAAATCTCGTCTATTATGAACCACACATTAGTCTGTGAGCACACTAGAATGCCAGTACTTATAGCTTAATTATCATTCTCAAACATAATAGCTACGGCCATGCTACGGCCACTGAATAGTTTATATATCAAGTAGCCGACGTTTTTTAATTTTTACCTCGTTTTAAAGCACATTTTACGTCAAAGTGACATTTCCAGTGGCGGACCCGGACAGAATTGGTTGATTAACCCATTAGCTGCCATGATCCCCATTTGGGGATTTCGCTTTTTGTACCGTTTGGCAACTACGCATATTATGAAACTCTGTTAGTTTAGGTTATGTTTTGTTCCTTGAACATTCACGTGTGTGGTTTTGTTGGTTTACGATATTTTGGTGGCGTAAATATTGAAATATTTAGCTTTTTGTGAAAATTTGTGGCTGGTAAGTTGACCTTTTTACATACCTATATTTTCATTATTATTTTTTGATAGATAAGTTTTGACAAGAGTTTTTTGTTTATAAAGTGTGGATAGAGTAGAGTCTTAAGCATACAAAAAAGATACAGCCACACAAAAAATAATAAAAATGTGGCTGTAGGGTCCTTTTGTGTTCCGATACCCAAATGGGGACCATGGCACATGTAATATTTTTTTCTTTTTTTTTAGATTATGAGTTCCAAACCTTTCCGCTCCTTGAAAGAGCTTGAGGCTTACATAGATGATCCAGAAAATCATGTCTACATTGATGAAAGTGAATATACCCATATCGACATCGTTGAACTTCCACCAGACCGCGTAGACTGCGTGACAGATTCTGAGGATCTAGATGAGGATGTCTTAGGTGATTCCGTTCCCCTAGACCTTCCAGGAGATATTGAGCTTCACGGCCTCACGGATGTTAAAAAGATACCCCAATCTGATCAGCCGCAGCCCAGCTGTTCTACTTCAAAACGGGTAAGATCGAAAACAACTGCCCAAGCGCCCAAGAGATCTAAAATTGCTACCAGTCAACCTCCAGCCTGGAAAAAGGTAGAAAAAGCCAATTTTAGTGTATTAGCTGATCCAAATGAAGCTCAATCGGCATGCGATATCCGTCGGCAAAAATTAAAGATGAAATTCGCGGTAAATCACCAGCCGAAGTTTTTGAGTTATTCTTTGATGAAGAACTAATGACCTATATTGTTAGGCAAAGTGTGATTTATGCAGCCCAGAACAACAGGCATGAGTTCACTTTTTCTGTAAATTGTCTGAGAAAGTTTCTAGGCATACTCATATTGACTGGATATCATTCTCTCCCACAAGAACAAATGTATTGGTCAGAAGACGAAGATTTAAATGTCCAAATTGTAAGAACATGTATGTCTAGAAATCGCTACCTAGAAATAAAACGAAACATACATTTCAATGACAATTCACTTATACCTGTCAAGCCGGAAGAGCATGATAAGCTCTATAAAATAAGACCCATCATAGACAGGTTCAATAAATTATGCATGAGATTTGGAGTTTTCAGTAGCAACCTGAGTATTGATGAGCAAATGGTGCGGTATTTTGGTCATCATTACCTGAAACAATTTATCAGGGGAAAGCCCATTCGATTTGGTTTCAAACAATGGGCGATGTGCTGCTCAGAGACAGGTTTCTGTTTCGATACCGAGGTATACGAAGGTAAAAAAGCCGATACTGCTGCCAGTGTTAGTCTAGGATCTTCTGTAATCTTGAAAAAAATGGAGGTTATCGAAAATCCCTCTGAGCATTGTTTCTACTTTGATAACTTTTTTACCAGCTATGAACTTATGAGAGAGCTATCTGATAAGAAGGTCTGCGCTTCTGGAACAGTGCGCAGTAACCGAATGGGCCGTTGTCCTTTGACATCTGACAATGAGGTAAAAAAAGAGAAGCGGGGATTTTTTGATTACCGTTTTGACCAAACAAACAATATATTTGCGGTAGTGTGGAAAGACAATAGCTGTGTCAAACTCCTGTCAAATCATGAAGAGGTCCTGCCAATAGCCAAAGTCGCTAGATGGTCGCGAACGGAAAAAAAAGAAATACTTTTGCCTCAGCCCAATGTTATAGCTAAGTACAATAAATATATGGGGGGAGTAGACAAATTAGATTGGAATATCCAAAAATATAGAATTAAAATTAGAGCAAAGCGATGGTATTTCCCCTTATTTACAAACGTTATTGATATGGCTCTAGTAAATGCTCACGCAGTCTACTCTATTGCAAATGGTAGTGTTCCATTACTTGATTTCAGGAGAGCTGTAGCCAAAGCTCTTTTAAGGGTGAATTCACTTTCAGACCCAAAAAAGCTTGGAAGACCATCTTTAAAAATGAAATCTCAAAAACGTGTGCCTGAACCAGTGAGACGAGATCCAGTTGGACATTATCTTGAAAGGACTCCCGAAGGCAAGCAAAGGAAATGTGCGGTCTGCAAATCGAATGTAAGAAAACAGTGTTCTAAATGTAATGTTGGTTTACATGTAGAATGTGTAGTTGCTTGGCATTCAAACTAATTGCTTTTTGTCAATATTTTGTAATAAAAATATACCTTGCACTAACCTTGTACTTATGTTATTATTAAGCATAGTATATGCCATGATCCCCAATTGGGGATCCACGATAAAAAACGTCAAAAAATGACAGATTTTATAAATACATACCAATGGAGTCTATTTTTGTCAAATAATTATACATCAGTATTCAAAAAATCGATATTAGCAAGAAAAGAAAAATTGGCAGTTAATGGGTTAAAATTAAAAAACCAAAATAAAATAAATGTAGTTTACAAAATGTAACAAAATGGAAATTATAGAAAGAAGTTTTTGTTGTTCTTCAAGCACTTTAACATTTAGCAAATTCGTATGTCACTGTGATTTTACAGCCTTCTTTAAGTGTCATCTCTGTAGCGAAGGTAACACTTAAAGTCGATTCAGATACATCAGTCACGTCTCGTCACAGTCCTGTCGCCGAACCGAACAATCCGTCATACAAAATATTCTTTAATAGAAATATGGCGCCGGCATTCACATTCATCAGGCGACGAACAGTTTGCCAGCTGTCATATAGTTGATAGTTCTGTGACCAAACAGGACCGGTTCGGCGTCGGGACTGTGACGGGACTGATGTGTCTGAATCGACCTTAAATCATCATAGCTATTCGAACTTTTGAGACGGCTGCTCTGAAAAGTTCATTTGATGTACTACCACTCTCTCAGGTTGCGCAGCCATGACATTTCTACGCCTCACTATGTTTCTTTTTCCTTGGATATTTCCCTGCATAATCAGTTGGAGCAATGTGTATTTCTCTCCAAGAGTAATATGTCCGAGATATTAAAATTTTCTTGTTTTAATTGTATTTAAAATTTCTATTTCTTTATTCATACTTCTCAGAACCTCTTTGTTTATGATGTGTTCTGTCCACGATATTTTCAGAATTCTTCTGTATACCCACACCTCAAATGATTTCAGTTTTTTCATTGATGTCGCATTCAAGGTCCATGATTCCATTCCATCAAACAAACTCGAAAAAATATAGGCCAACCTAACTCTTAGTTCCAATTTTAAATCCCTTGTACATAACACTTTCTCATTTTGTTGAAATTTGCTCTAGCCTTTTCTATTCTGATTTTGATCTTCTGAATCTAATCTAATCTGAATATAATCATTTGTGGAGTTATCATTGTTCTCAGATATGCATATTTGTTGTTTGTTTGTTTTCTCTCATAAATTTTGTCTTCTTGACATTCATTGTTAGACCGTACTCTTTTCCATACTCCATTATTCTGGTCACCATCTGAAGATCTTCAATTTGCCGGATCGAAAGCATTGATTTCCCAAACCATAGTTTCCTATACACTTTCCGCTTTGTCCCTTTCCAATCTTTGCATTCAGATCACCAGGAACTATCATTATTTCTCTTGTTTTCGGTATTCTTAGTGCCTCTTCGATATCTCGGTAAAATAATTCCACTTCTTCAGAGATAGGGAAATAGCATTCCACCGCTCTATTAGATTTTTTATTAACTATTTCTGCCACACCGTGTCTGTGTTGTTTATTCTTGCTACCGCAATAATATATTGTGCCTCCATCTGTTGAAAAACAACCTGAGTTGGGCCACCTGCTTTACTTATACCCAGTACATCGACATTCAGCCTGTTCATTTCTTGAATAACATTGTGCATTTTACCAGACTGAAACATGCTCTACACATTTCAGGTTCCTATTCTAGTGTTGGACAGTTTTATTTTCTCATCTACGTTATTTTCACAAGGAATTCGCTGATTAGCGACCTGAGAGTCCTTGTCTTTTTCTACCCTGCCGGATCTTGGCTTCCGAGGGCAATGATCAGTAATGCCGTTATTAGTTTCTAAAACCATGATGATTGTGCAGCATTACAATGTAAAAATTAAGATGTAAACTATTCAGTAACCGCAGCTGTACATCTTTGTTATAAGGCAAATGGTGAGTTTGGAGCTGATATAGTATGAAATCGATTGTAAGTTTTCTTTTTATTTGTTTATGAGCAATTTTTACCGCTTGCTTTATCTCAATATATTTGTGCTCATTACTCCCTCTTATGGTCATGATTTTTTACTAATGAAATATGCTACCTAATATGAATATTATCAACAATCATCTTGATTTTCAGATATATGTCGTAGATTCCGCAGACAAAAAACGACTCGAAGAAACAGGCATCGAGTTATACGAGCTTTTGAGTGATGACAAGCTTCTAGACGTACCTCTCCTAGTTTACGCAAACAAACAAGATCTTCCCGATTCCTTATCAGCTGCCGAAATTGCCAGAACTCTGGGATTGCCCACGATCAAAGACCGGTCCTGGCAAATTCAATCGTGTACCGCTACTCAAGGCGTTGGTGTGCGGGAAGGGATGGAGTGGGTCTGCAAAAATATCAAAAAGAAATAATATATATCGACGGTGTAGATGTAAATTATAAAATGGCAGATTGTAGAAATCTCAAATGCTTGATTAATTAGTTTTTTTATTAGTGTACAAGTAAGACGAAAACCCCATAGGATTAAAAATAGCTACTATAAATTAATAAAATAGCTACTATGGTTCTTTTCATAGCCTTCTTTTAGCTGTGATGTAATCTTGTGGTTTAAGCATGTAAGGTACATTCCCAAATATAGTGCCTAAACTTATGCATAATTGTAGTAAGCGGTAAACCAAGCAATTGACACAGCAGGGGCGTAAGAGAAGGAAAGACTCTATCTTTAAACTTGTAAAAGGGTTGTGTATGAATTTTAGTCTTAAAATTGTAAGATCCATTTTTTCTGCATCTTGTTCTTCTACGGTACTACAGCTCAAATTGAGCCTTGACCTTCTTTATTATTTGCCTCCACTCTTTCTTATCTGTGGCTGATCTTCTCCATACACGGACTCCTAAAAGGGCTTGTGCGTCGCTGTTTACTGTGTCTTTCCAGCGCTTTCTTGGCTTTCCAACAGTCTTTTTCCATGCATTCTAGCATTCAGTACTCTTTTTGGTAGCCTATACTCTCCTATTCTTATCACATGTCCGGTCCATTGCAATCTTTCTATTCTAATGAAGTCTAACAGTGATCCTTCCTTATAAAGTCGATAAAGCTTGTTGTATCGACTTCTGAAGGTCCTAGTATTCTCCTCAGTACTTTCCTTTCGAATGTGTCTTATTTGCTTTTGGATGTTCCTTTCAGGACCCATGCTTCACTACCATAGCATGCTATTGGTCGAATTAAGGTTTTATAGATTCTCATCTTTGTACTTCAGTGAAAATTTTTAGACCGAAATATATGAGAGAAGGCCAAACAAGCTCTGTTTGCCTGCGTTATTCTCCTCCGTATTTCTTCATCTTCTGATCCGTCGGCATATATTTCTATTCCCAGGTATGTAAACTTTTCAACCGTTTCCGTGTTAATTTCCAGACCTAGCCTTTTGGATTGCGATTTTAGCTCTGCATATGTTTTCTGTGCTCCTGTTGATGTTCTACTCATAACAATAATATCATCGGCATAAGTGGCCAGTTGAACCGTTCGGTTGGTCAGTAGGTTTCCTCGTCCAGTTTGCATTTGCCTAACCGCATACTTCAGTGCCATGTTGAATAAAGTTGAGGCCAAGCCCATCTCCCTGCTTTAGTCCCTGTGAAATTTTGTCTAAAGTCTGTCATTATCGAACATTTAATTTTGAATAGTAACTTTAGTATCACTGACACAAGGAACTTTATTTGTCTAATATAATAAGACGCATTGTCCATAACACCGTTTGGTGGTTTAATGTTCATTATTTTTAAACCATAAAGGTTTCAAATACCTCCGCGGTTGTGTATTGGTGATAATCGACGCAAAATTCACTAAAATATATTATTCTATTAAATATATTATCTTAGTTTTCTCTTTGTCTAGAATGCGTAGTTTTCTCAGAATATTGAAATTAATAAAAAAATCAGAAGAGCGCCTGCCTTTAAATCTAAAGGTCGTGAGTTCGAATCCCACCTGGGTGGAAATTTTCGTTTATTAAAAAATTAATAAATGAAAATAATTTCTATCCTTGTGTGATCGGTACACACCGGAGGGACCGCAGACGTTCGGATACAATTAGCGTCTCTTAGCAAAGACAATGACGTCGACTTTGCTAAGTATCAAGACAATTACTCTACACACACACACACACACACACACACACTACACCTCAAATTGTAAGATTGGCGAATGGATTTAGTGTCCGCAGTCATTTAAACACAAACAAACAAAACAAAAAAATCAGAATTTTTTTAAGCGATTTTCGGCTTTGTTTTAATGGGATAATAAACTATAAATAACTTATAAATTTAATTTAATTTAATTATTATTTCTTTTAATAAAATTAATTTTTAATTTAATAAAATCAAAAAATTGTGTTAATTGTTGTATTATTGTTTATTTAATATTAAGCTATATCCCTAACTTATGCCTCGCAGTTTATTATAGATCCAATAAGTAAATTTAGATAACTACAAACCGCTTTCTTAGTATAAGTGAACTAAGAAATTCAGTGAAAGTATTTTCAAATAGAAATGCACACACACTTGCAAAACTATGCATCTATCGACAGTTCAGTTGAGTGCAATTACCTTAACTATGAAAGTGATAACGAAAAAACCGTTAGAAGGTAAATGCGGAGAAATAACCGACGAGCATTTGGGAATAAAACATGCCCTTTGGGAATTTAATCCCGGTAAGTGCATGTTGCCGGCGTTTTTCGAAAATTATGTTCCTCAAATTTTGAGTGCTCCAGTTAGAAAGGATGATGTCTGGTTGATTAGCTATCCAAGAACAGGTAATTATTTAAAATAGTTTTAGTTGAATAAATAAATAAATAAATAAATAAATAAATATATATATATATATATATATATATATATATATATATATATATATATATATATATATATATATATTAATGTGATATTAAAAGTCTGAGGTGCGCCAAGTAATTAATTAGCTAATTAATTAATCAATTAAACTTATTTAAAATATGCAATTATGATTCTACTACACTATTTAATTCTCTTATCTCAGGGTTATACTCTTTCTTCAATATCTATGCTTTACATGTGATAGGTAAGGTCCAAAGAATACCGGAATAATAAAAAACATATATAATACAACAATGTATATTGAAAAAAAATATATATTGAAATAAAATTCACACTCAAATATCTTCAATAAAAATATCTCATATAATGATTATAAAAATTTTGTTCTACGTACGTGAACCTTCAAAAATTAATGGTACATACAATATAAATTAAGATTTCAAATCAAAATTGTTGTTCTAAATCTCCTAATCAAAATATTCCTATCTTTTCTAAAGCAATTGTTAAACATATGTGTTGTTAATAAAAAAAACTGACGAATAGTAAAACTATCTTTCTGATGATGAGTTGTCCAAATCCTTGTTCCTTGTAGCCTACACTATCTATTCTTAGCAGTCCCCTAGGTCATCAACAATCTTACAACAAATTGTTGCGAGCCTATCGTCTTTAATGATCTCCTTCAAATGCACGTATCGTTCAAATGATGCTAGCCTCTTCTCCTCTCGATAAACTGAAACTCTCGTTCTGGCCTGAACAGTGACTCTTGGAATATAAGTAGAAATATATAACTTACAATATTTTACTGGATCAGCTTCTATCAGATACACTAACTCCACGAAAAACTCACTAACATTCACTTTTACTGCTTGCTACCTCTCGGGAACCACCAGAGAACAATGACTGTTCGCCATGCATACTTGGAAAACAACTGATTATCTTTTCTCCCTCAAAAATCTAGCTAAACTTTACTTCCTACATACCTATCCCACTTTTTCAATCTCCTCCAATCAAAGCTCGCCACAATTATCCCCATCTCTTCATTTAGATAACAAACAATAATTTTACCTACAATTATAAATTTTCTAAAAACTATTAACATGCTAATCGGTTTCTACAAATTCTTAAGAACTAACGGAGAAATATATTTTCTAAATATTACTATCCTATTGTCTTATTCACTGTACAAGTCCATTTGGAAAACCCACTCGCATTATTCATGGTTTCACTAATTTCACTAACGTCACTCGAATATATTTTACAAAGAAAATAATTTATGCATATCTTTAAAATTTTGTTTACTACAGGTAATCCAGGATAATGGACTTTCATTTCTTCGAAATATCTTTTATAGTTTATTAGTCGAATTATTTGAATTATTTTATTTTGTACTTTGAAATATATTAAGCAAACCAATATTATTTTCAATTTTACATAGCATAACAATATATATATATACATATATATATATATATATATATATATATATATATATATATATATATATACATATATACATATATATATATATATATATATATATTATATATATATATATATATATATATATATATATATATTTATAGGGGCCCAAATACCGCCCCCCTAACCCCCTAAGCAAGATCTTAAATTCTGAAATTTGATTTAAAGTTAAAATAATGGAAAAACTGATTTAAGTAACTTAACTTTATGTCTAAGAGTTTTGCTAGTACGATTTTACTAAATAAAATTTCCTGAAATAAAAATAAATAAATAAAGCAAATTTCAGTTCTTTAAAAATGGTATCCCAATTCTGTTCCCCATCCATTTTTAGTTAAAATGTATAATTTTTTTGTAAATCATGATTTAAACAGTACTAATATCTGTTATAATAAATTATTCAGATATGAACATGTTTATACATTTTAATACATAAGTTCTATATATGTAAACCTCCAGACACAAATCACAAACAAAATTTTTTAATTTGGTTGAAGTTGAACACATCTCATGGCACCACTTGAAGCATTCCGAACAACTTATCCATTTTTCTCCTCGCTTGTCTTGTGAAAAACGTTTTCCACAAATGGCACATGGTGCATCTTCATCACCAGAACTATCCTCATCATCGGTTGATACCAGTGGAACATCTGTTTCGTCCTCAGAGTCACTTGAATTTAAATCCCACTTGTTGTTGTTTTCTTTTTGGGAGTTTTGTTCAATGATGTGCCAGGATTCTCTTTATCTTCCATGATGAGACGTTTCTTAGCCTTTGACTGCCTATTCTCTTCTGCCATTAGTTTCTTTTGCAAAGAGATTTTGAGAGAAGTTTTGTGCGGAGATCCAGTTACCAAGAATGAAGTACCGGCTCTAGAAGATGTGGAAGGTTCAATAACTGGAACATTCTTTCAAGAACCAACTTTCTTCTCATTTTCCCACCATCTTTGCTTTCTCGGCTTTATAATCGTCATATCAATAGGCCGCATTCCTAAGTTTTCTTCTGTACATATACCTATATATACATTGTGTGTCAATCAAATGGAATAAATTAGCTAATAAATAAATGAGGGAGTATTCGAAAAAACTAAACTAAAATAATGGCATCAACACCCAACAATAGAGCCAGAAACATCGGCCATCAATTCACGGTTGATATCTCTACCCTTGAAGTGGTGGACAAATTCACATACTTAGGCTCCCTGATCAAGCGAAGAATAATCCTAGCAAACAAATGCTATTTTGGATTGAGTAGACATATGAGAAGCAGAAACTTAAGCCAAAAAATAAAAATAACCATATACAAAACTCTTATACAACCAATGTTGACATATGGATCTATCATCTATATATGGATCATATGTTGGCATTGGAGACATGGATCATCTCCAAGGCAGACGAACACCTTATGCTTATATTTGAACGAAGGATCCTGAGACGAATATTCGGTGGCATCTGTGAAAATGGTGTTTGGATAAGGAGGTACAACTACGAGATATATCACAGATATAAACATAGTTTTGGTAGTATCTCTTATAAGAATAGGTATTAGGTAGTATAGGGATAGGTAGGTCTCTTATAAGACGTAGTATCTCTTATAAGAATAGGAAGATTAAGATGGGCAGGACATCTAGCAAGATCACAGCAGAACAACCCTCCTAGAAGAATCCTTATGTCACAACCCGTGGGAAGTAGAAAAAGGGGTAGGCCAAAACTCAGATGGAAGGATGGTGTAGATGAGGATGGTAGAAAAATAGGCGCAGCAAACTGGCAACAGTTGGCA